TTGACGAGAAGGGGAGGATCTAATCCTTTATCTTGTACGGTGCGCGAATAGCCTCATGCAAGGTAATTAATTACATCACAACAACCCCTGGAGGGGGGGAGGGGAGGACAGGAAGATACTGGGGTAAGGGGGGTGGGAGGAGAGAAGATAAGAGCGAGAATCCCCTAAGCATGCCACAAAACCTTCACCTTTATTAGCGTCTCATCTCACATTAAACTGTTTTGATCGATTATCTTCAGCTTTATGAAGATCTATAATGAAGCAATTCTACTACCTGTTCCAGGGTGTAATTTTATCAGCAGGATATAAGAGAGAGATTACGGGCAATGTGCAAGGAAAATGTAAGTAATTCCCCGAGGGAAGGAGGTTTGGGGCCTTCTGGGGCCAGCTGGCAAACTCTCAGCGTTTCCTAATTTATTTCATGACTTTCCTTACGAAGATCATGACATTTCATGACTTTCCTTAAATGGGCCTTCACATTTCATGACGTTCCTTAAGTGGACCTTCACATTTCATGACGTTTCTTAAGTGGACCTTCACATTTCATGACTTTCCTTAAATGGACCTTCACATTTCATGACGTTCCTTAAGTGGACCTTCACATTTCATAACTTTTCTTAAACGGACCATCATTCTCCACAAAATATGTCAATAGGCTTTTGAGGGTTAATTAATTTTAAGGGTCGTACAGCGCCTAGTTTGAAGTATATTATTTGGAATTTAGCGATGAATAATCATTAAGTAATCCCCCTTGTCGGGGACAGGAAGCCTGTACCTAGGCTTATTCAGGTCCTCCCCCTAGGCCTACCTTTCCCCAGGATGCAACCCCCAGCAGTTGGCTAACTCCCGGGCACCTATTTTACTGCAAGATGAACAAAGGCATTAGGCGAAAGCCTAATGTTCTAATAAGCCTCTGTTCTATTCCTGTTCTAATCCCACCATATAGGTCAATGTTTTATTAAATTTGTTAAATAGTGCAAGGAGGGAACAATACAAAAGGGTGGACAATGCGGATGCGTACCGAAGATCGTAAGTAGGCTATTCTCTCGCACCAGGAACGGTTGAAGGCCACAGGGCTAACAACACTGCAGACCAGGGGCCAGATTCACGACGGCAAGCACTTACGAACCTGTCCATTTTTTCTCAATCTTTGGCGGCTTTGTTTACAATTATTACAATACAATACAATTTTATTTAGGTAAGGTACATACATACAATAAATATTAACAAGGATTGTTTAACTTATAGGTATAGCTAGTACATACAATGCCTAAAGCCACTATTACGCAAAGCGTTTCGGGCATATTAAACAGTTAATGAGCTCCGAAACACCAGGAGGCTGTTTATAACAACAACAGTTGATTGGGAAGTTTTCATGCTTGTAAACTGTTTAATAAATGTAACCAAAGCTGTCAAAGATTGAGGAAAGATGTACACGTTCGTAAGTATTTTCGTAACTGCTTCGTGAATCTGGCCCCTGGTATTACAGAACGGATCTCATTCAAACTTTTTTTTAAAATACCGAACAATTTGGAGGAGGATGTGGATAATTTCTTCAAAAGGTCAAATGTAACACAAACAAAGAGCAACAGTTTCAAGCTCAAGATACAATGTAGAACTGAGAACAGATGCTTTTTCACCCATGGGAACTGCCTACCCGCCGGAATGTTACATTTTAAAATCCTGTTGGAAAAAATCAGAGCAAATAAGGGGGGGGGGTTCCTTTGACAAGCCCCCGGATTCCTGTCTTCGTCGAGGCCACTGGTGTGTTAGTGGCCCTCAGGTAATTCAGGTAAATTCTTGTAGTAAAAAATTGGAAAGTCGAGTAGACAGGGGCAACCAACCCGTTTTACAAATTCAGTCGCTTTTCGCTCATATGCGCAACGGCTAAAAAAAGATATAACTTGAAAATTAAAAATAATTGAAAATATGTTTTATTATTATTTTTCCAAAACAGCAAGTTAAGGGTCCTCTGCTAGGTTAGAAGGATGGGAAGTTATCCTGAGGTTTCAAAAAGTCATGAACACCGTTAATTGAAAGTTTCCTCTCCTAATCTAACAGCCTAAGCCAGAGGACCCAAAACAGAAAACGGGACAGTAAGTCACTTTCGTGAGCTGATTTCATTTTGAATTACGGCGATTTTTAGCCTGAGTGCGCATACGAGGGAAAAGCGACGTAATTTGTAAGAGGACGGGAATTATACTATGGAAAGTGTGTTTTAGAAAAAGCCGTTTTACTGCTTATCTCTTGTTAAATCTTTCCACCAGGTACATCCCTTACTGGGCATGTCCAAGATCAGCTGCGTTGTTGTACTGGTCATTCCAAGTGCCTAGGATCGGGTTTGAGACTCTAATATTAGTAACGAAAAGGTTGGATTATAACCTGTGCCCTCTGTAATCCGTTATTGTACTACCGCTCACAGGATAGGAATGGGGGTGCACAATAAATTAGCCACCTACGGCAGCAACAATAAAATCAAATCGAGCACTAGCTAATAAGGTACTACCTTCAACAACGGATCGAAGCAAAGTCTTCAATAGAACAGAATACAAAAGCCACAATTGGTGTCAGTATACTACAGGGTAGTGTAGTTGACCCTTTGCGGTGCAATTTCTATTTCAATGATCCTCTACACCTCATTCCTGAAGCTCAAGCCTATTCTGGTGACTGCATTCTAATCTTCACATAAGGAAAAGAAGAAATGACTACAAGGGTCATTAATCAACTTTCGGCAATTTCTACCTAGGGAAGATAATGACAGGTCAAAATTGCAGCTGAAAACAAAAAACAATATTGAAAATCAGACAGGCATACCTTTAAATGGCAAAAATCTAGTTGTGGTAAAACTGATATACAGTATTTGGAATGAAGTTCAACTATTCAATGATCATGAAAGGACACGTGCATAACTTGGCAAGCAAGGCAGCCCTACGGCGCATCTCATGCCTTCTTGGCATCGCTGGTTGCTAAAACATTATTTGAAGCACAAGTCTGCTCCCATCTTGAATTTTCATAGTCTGCTGGTGTAGACCTGACCAAATGTAAACTGTGTCAACGAAGTTATTCGCGCACTCTCCGTCACTATGTGATGGAGTGCCCCCCCCCCCCCCCCCCAAAAAAAAAAAAAACTAATTTAGAGACAATTCTGTAACATATGTTCAAAAGATTTGTAAATATTTGTAACGGTTCTATTGTTACGTATGGTATGGTGACAATAAACACAAACACTAAGACAATATATATATTTGGTCGAGTATACAGAAGTATGCAAGTGATACTTTGACAAGCAATGGTGTGAGTTGAGTGCACTGAGTCGGTACAGTATCTCGCAAGTGTGTTCTAGACCACACTTGAAAGTAGACTAGTTATTATGATTGATGAAGATTAAGCCACCCAAAAGGTGGCACGGGCATGAAAAGCCCGTAAGTGGTGGCCCTTTTGAGCCATTACCAGTATCAAGAGCTGATACTGGAGATCTGTGGAGATGCGAATGCACCCTGCGTGACGGGAGATGTCTCCCTTGTTAATGTGTTAAGATGAAGATGAAGCCACCCAAAAGGTGGCATGGGCATGAATAGCCCGTATGGGTTATTATTCGCTACTCTGCTTCTTATATGCTCGGGCAACACCTCACCGTTCTCCAAAGGTTGACAGGAATGTTATGTGGAAGTTGGGAAAAGTTTGAGTTCCATAATTAGTACTAAGAAGAGCTTTGCTTCTCTCATTGGGCCAATGCGTTTGGAGCGAGTATATTATTGGGATAATCTACTCGCTACATATTTCATTCAAAATTATCTGCTACCAGAAATTTTAGTCAAATATCCCCAGTTTGGTAACTGTAGGTAGTAACCGAGTGATTATAACCTATCCACCGCTGCTCACTGGATGGGGGGTGGTGTGCAGGACAAAAATATCAATTGTGACACATGTCAGTTGCTTAATTTAGAAACTGTACTTGTCATGGGTCTCGAGCCCATTATTGATGTGACTATATACATTGAATATTTTAACTTGCTTAACAAAATGAATTGTGGGGTTCAGTTCCTGAGCCCCATTATGTGCCTCTAACTCTTTCCACTGACACCTACAGGATGGGTATGGGGTGCATAATAAATAAACTATTGAGTATGCACCCTCTCCAGATCTACCTGCTACCTCATCATTCATCAGAACTTCGGACAAGATGGAGAACCATGCACTAAGGGGTCATCTCATCTCGCTAAAATTTGGTTAGTTTGATCTAAACACCTAAGCCTTCAACACTAGCGAGATGTTAAGAGTTACTGTTATGTACAAGGTCAAAACTGTATTTCAAATTCCTTGACTTGTCCAGCTTTGTGGACAACCAGGAATTGGCACCCATAACACAAAGTGCTTGGCCATCAACAGCCTCATGGTGGTAAATGCCTTTCTCAAGAACATCACTCCATCAGCTGTCATTCATTCCTAAGCTGACTCACAACAGAAGCTGTTTACTCAATACCTTGATATACGAGAAATTAAATCAAGCGACCATCTGAAGGCTCTGGCACACAGTTGGCTCATGGGGTCATCCTGTTCCTTATATGATAAGTACTTAGCATAAAAGTTATATTATTCCTAATGGAAACAAATAATCATCTCATTAAATATTAGAGTCTAGGGACAGGCTTCAGATGAGCTGATATGGCATATGTAACAACTCTTGTTTGCAGTTTCACTAGAAACCTCTTACAATTCCCATGGACACAGTCTTATTTTAAAGATAAAAAGAGAGAGAGAATTAAAGAGCATGACAAGACACATTACCCAGGTCAGTGGCATCAAATTTTGCTTCACCAAGCTTGCAGATAAATGGTTGACCATACAAACTTTGCCTTTATTTTAGGGTAACCTCAATAAGCCAAACAGTATCTATATACTCTAATGTGGTATATTAGTAACTAGGCATATTTACACACAAAATGCAACAAACCAATTTTTTTCCCTAGTATGTAGGGTAACACTAATACAGTACAGTA